AAATGAAACATTGAAAAATTGCTTAAATTGTTCTAAAGGACGAATGCCAATATTGATTTGAAGTTCATTAAAATATACTCTTGTATGTACATGTGTATATGTATGTATAAACTAGAAAATGTGATATTTATAACTTTTCCCACTACAGACGTTTCGTTTCTAAATACATCTTGATTATAAGAAACGAAATTTAACGAAAACGCATGATCTAAAAATATATTATTATGTGCGTGGTAAGTGGGCTTTTACACACAGATTCTTTTGTAACCCAAACCGGTTAATTGTGGGCGAGGGGACGACGAGGAAAGACGAAGGGACCGTGCCCCTCGTGTTCGGATGGCACGCTATGTGTTCTTGTTCGTAACAGCTCGCTGCTACCCTTTTCAGCATTCCTTTATTTTTTGTATGTAATATGCAAATATGTATGCATAGAATAGTAGAAATATTTTGAAAAATTGTAAATAAGGAGAACATTAAGGTACTCAAAAATATTCAATGTACATTTTTAATAACATACCGCATAACCGCAAAAAATTTAGTTCGAATATCATTTTATTTAAAGCAAGAATTGTAACTAATTCAAGGTTGTTTTATTATAAATAGAAAAAAATATGGAATAAAAAAATTATGGGATTTTAACACTTAAAGATTAGGAAATTCCTGTTATAAATTTGGCCTTGAAATATTAGTAGCGGGTATTTAATACATTCTGTTGGATTAGGGAATTCCGTCTTAAGTATTTTTTTGAAACTATTAAGCGGGTATTATGCATATTGTTCTACCATATGCGTGGTAATTCCTTGCAAGCAAACTGTGAGACCACGACATACAACTGAAATATGCAACACACTCTACGTGTTGCGTAGCAGAAACATTTGCGAAAATTATATGAAAAGGAATGACAGAAAAATTAGACTCGAGTTGCTGGACTATTTTTGCTCGTATGAATGCACAGAGCGACACCAAAAGAGAATTTGCCGAAAACTAGGGTCAAAAGAGTCTGTGTGTAAAAGCCGACTAACATGTTTTGTGTACGTAATCAAAATTTTATTTAGCAATATAAGATGTGTTTGTTCGCAAACTAACATACGCATTCAGAACTAGCGCAGCTATTTACAAGCTATAGAACGAGCAACCAATTCGAAATACATATATGTACGTTGTGTATTTACATGTACAAGTACATACTCGCACATTCCTAATAATAACGCATAGGTACGAACTTATAAACACATACAAAGGTATACTTGTACGTTTCCACACACAATTTTTTGCAGCATTTTGTATGTGCAGATCAACACAATAAAATCATAGACGAACGTTAATGGCGTGGGGAATGCGCCTAATTGTTGCTAAGAAAGCTAAGAGGATTTTATAAAATATTTTCTTCTTAATTTTTGCTGTGCAATATATATATAAATTGGTATATATATACAAGCCCAGCGTGATAATCCTGTGAAATCAACTAGTTAGAAAATAATTTATAGGATAAATTATAGATAAGCAGTCGATAATTGTGTCTTCAAAAGAAAATGTTAAAACTTATAACAACAGTAACAAGTTACGGTTATTAATTTTGTATGAAAAACTCGTGCCTTTTACAATATTTTAAGTCAGACATGTTATTTGTCAGATATCGAACAGAAATATACATCTGTAAAAAAATATAGTTCAATTACGTAGCAATCCTCTTCTTAAATAAAGTAAATCATTAGAAAATCGTTCTATAGGTGGTATAATACTAATTGTTTTCAGTCTAGTTGTATTTCAGACCGGAATTTCTATTAACAAACAAATATATTTACTAAGTAGTTTTATGCTTAACCATAGAAATAGTCTGTGAATATTTATAAGTATATGCGTGTATCCATCAATATAGTCAAGAAAATATATATGTATACATTCCTAAAAAAATAGTTTTTTTTGTATAATACAACAAAAAATATTGTTTGTAAATTGAAATGCTACAATACCAAAACTATTCGTGGGTGCAAGATATATTACATTTTACTAGGGATTTACTTGCTTATACCTGTATGTATGTGGAACTTACAACTTTGTTTCACCGTCATATGCTATACATACATACTACTTTAATTCGGTTACTTAAGTTCTCGATACTATTAAAGAACACCCCTAATTGGTTTTTTTTTTTATTATGAGTAAGATTATTAACGATGATAAGATTAACGATGCCATCAATATTACAGTGTTTTATTGGAAATTTGGGTTTTTCTAAACTTTGTAGGTCTGAGCTGATTGCATTTACTTTTCCCATTAAGCTAAAGCATGCTCGAGGACATGTTTTCACTCAGTTTAGTTGAAATAATTCACAATTTTGCAAATATATTTACCCGACATTATATTTGATAGACACCTTTCACATTATTTTATAGAAGTGATGTCTTCTGAATTGTATTAAGATATCTCAACGATTGACTGATAATATAGATAATATATATGGTATAGTCGTAAAGCTATTGGCACTGAAGTCCTCATATTCGGTAAACGGGGGCTCGAAGAGTTGTGGTTAGATATTAACCATTTTTAGATGGGAAGTGCCACACCTAGACGGCATAATTTGTACAAAATTGTATTCTGAAATCTTCATTTTAGTTTAATTTATGCATATATTGTAAAGGGAAGAAAACATATGTAGTATAATATTTATAAGGAAGTATGATCGAAGAAACTTGATGTCACACTGTATTATAAAGATGATATAATAATATTATGCACCAAATTCGGTTAAATTGTGTGACACTATCTCAAAAACTACTACACCATTTACAGCCAAATATGGTGTGTGATGGTACCCAATAATTTTTATCATACATTGTGAAAATGAGCAAAATCTGTTGACAACCACGCCTACTGCCCATAAAACAAACTTTTAAATTCTATCTGATTCTGTCAATTTTTAGTATACAAATCAAACATCAATACAGTTATTAAGGTAAAATTTTGCACAAATAGTGTCCTCAAATTAAATATTATAACGTCCAAACATTGCGAAATCGGACTATTACTTTTCAAGGACTTAGACACCAAATATGTAAACACCAGTGCATATGGCTGATTTTTAATCGAACATACCGGTTAGTCTGTGAGTTCTAGTATTGTAATTCAGGGAGAATATTTGTGTGTCCTTGCGCTAAAAGTAAGTAAAATCGGGCCAATACTTCCCATATCCCAAATACCTAATATTATATAAATATTTTCGAACTTCCGGTTGACTTTATACCGCATCTATTGGTCAATCTGTTCGAAATCTTAATGAAATTCCGAAAGAATCTCTTTCTAATAATAGAGTATTTTCGTGCATGTGATTGTAAATAATAGATGCAATACTTCCTACTTTCAATTAAAATATATACGCGAATCCGGTACATCACTTTACCTTGCGAGAGTATAAATTGTTCGGTTACACCCAAACTTAGACCTTCCGAACTGGTTTTTTAATTACGAAACAAATGTTGATTGTGTTTTTTCTTTCAGTGTTCGAAATTGAAATGATAACATTACGTGCAACAAAGAAATCCCGAAACAACAGATTTTAGCTATATGAAGAGTAGACTTGCTAACAATCTAAGCTAACTGAAAAATAAACTGTCATGTGCAAAGTTAATGCAATGAGTGTCACACAAAATTTTTGGCATACAAATCGTATACCAACCAAAATGTCTTTGACAACTTATTTCTGATTTTCATGCCTAGGGTAACGCAATTATTAAACTAAACATACTTCGTAAGTTGATAGTAGCATACGTCGAATGAACTTGCATGTGTTAATACTACCTATCTACAGGTAATGTGATGCCCAGCATCGCATTTAATAGCAGAAACGATAAATGACTTGTCTGATGTGTTTTACTATGATAAACTACTTAACCTTTTTCAAATATTTAATGAAGATTTTCTTTTGTTTATATTTTGTTTATATAAGTCCCACATCAGTTAAAAAAATTTATAAGTATAAAATAAATTATATCATTAGAAAATCGTTCTTTAATTGGTATAAGAGTAATGGTTTTTAGTCTAGTTGTATTTCAGATTGGAATTTCTATTCATAAACTGATATATTTACTGAGTAGTTTGATGCTTAACCATAGTTAAAGTTCTCGAATACTTATAGGTATATGCGTACATCTATATAATGAAAATATATATTTATTTTATACATACATTTTCTTTTATTGAAATGTAAAAAAACATTAGAGTCTGAAATTAATTATATATTATATGAGGTGCAGTTAAATACATAATTTTATATAAAATATGTTAAGAAATTATAATTTCAGGGTGGTTCTGTGAATTTCAAGATTCTATTTTCAAAGTCAAAATAAACTGTTCATATCCATGCCCATTCCGAAACGCTTTTTATGCGTTATATATGTTACTAAATCTCATCATTTCTTACATATGTACATATATGTGTTCTCTTATAAATCCACTAATCTCTCAAAAAGCTTTCACGATCACTTTTATTCGGTTGTTCTCTCTAATGGATCCTGATACTTTATGCAAACTTTATACTAACGCAATCGATTGCATCACTTCAATGGCTATTATCACACCACCACAAATGCCAAAGCAACTGAGTCATGCTACCGCATACGAGCGTACTGAATACGCCAATCGCGCATACAACAGCACAACGAAAACTATGCTAGCGATTCGTACATAGCGACAGATCGCGGGCATGAGCGTACACCGAAAAAGGGAGCGAATACCCACCAGGACAAGCTATGCGCGTATATAACGAATACGCATACAAACAAAATGAATACATAATAGCAGTGATCTGTCAATGTGTGGATGGATGTTCTAAATAGGAGGGGGTGTAAAAGATCAAGAAGAGGCGGCAGTAACGGTATCTTGTGTGCTTTTAGCGCTTTGGCGTAAGCGGTTCGGCAAATATCGGCGGATTGCTAGTATATGGTATCAAATTGCCTCATATAAAAAGGAACAGTGCCGGCTGTGTGGGTCAGAACGGCTTTCGAACGCGTAAGTTCAACACCTTAATGTTGGATTATTTTTTGGTTGTGTATTTTTACTGTGAATAAAAGCAATACCGTTTTTTGTGTTTTCACTGTGGCTTGAATCCCAATTATGTGAGAGCGAAAGCAAGAAAGAAAGAGAGTTAATGTGCATACGTGCGATCGAGAAGTAGTAGCAGTATGAGCAGAAAAAATTAAAACCCTGCCAATCCAGTTTATTTATCTGTTTTTCAAAAATTGTTAGTGATAAAAGCTTAAGTGACTTCTATAGTTATTTCCAAATATATAGTGGAAAAACAAAACTAGAAAAGTAATGATAAATGTGTATATAACATGCCGTACAGGACAAAAGGATCACTTAAGAGACACTTGTGGATTACTCAATACCCAAACCGTTATTTGAAAATAGAGGCCAAAACCAATGGATTACGACGTGGCCACTAAATACTAATGTGGAATATTATTTTTTTAATATTGATAAATTTTTGAACATATTACATATGTATATATATCACATCTTTAGTGATTTTCGAACTCACACTGCGTTTTATATTATATAATTCATTGATACCTGTGCAAATGGTTCAGATCAGATCAGAATAGCATATAGGTGCCATACAAACCGACCGGTCAAAATTGAGATAAAAATCTTTGTATAACCTTTTATGTTAAAAGAAATGCACCTGTGAAAGGTATTATAACTTCGATGCAGCCTAAGTTATCTCTTTTTCTTGCTTTATACCATAATATATGCAATAATAAATTTAATATCAAATTTCAAAACGAAATTTGTTTGGTGTCAAATGAGTGACACAAATGTGCATTTAATGGATAATACTACATCTAGCATACCCTATACTTTCGACACATATTAGTAAATATGTCTTCTTGAATAAATAATTCATATAATTTTGCGTTAAAGTTAGAAAACCCGTGCGAACATGCACAAATAATATTTTCAAAAATAGAACACTTTCAAATCACACATAAAGTGATCAACCAATAGGAAGAAAGAATTAGCACTTTTACGAAATCGTTCAGCTAAATATTGGTACAATGTTCTAACAGAAATTAACAGGAATCCATTTTATCAAATGAACATGTTAATTTCATGGTTTTCGAAATGAAAAAATTTAATTTAAAAATTTATTCAGTAGCATCAGGAAGTATACGAAAGAAAATTCGTACATATTAATACATATGCATATACACATACAAACTCATATTCACACACGAAGCGCAAGGTGAAAGAGCACGATAGAAATAGCAATATTTCTACACATTTACATGTCCATGCGTACGCATAGGTGTCTCGCACTGGCCAATGTGGTGGCGACCAGCGACCAGCTATTATCTGCCGAATAGTTTTCACACGGTGTCGTTCGTGCGCTGGCATGCAAACATATGGAAAACGATTTCGAAATTTCAAAATATTACCGATTTTTTAAGGCGATGTACTACATTGAAATACTCTCTGCAAGAGAATTTTATTTTAGCCACTTTATATTTTCTTGTTTAGAGCTCAAGACATTTTCGCGTTTTCCAATTCATTGTGATCTTGCAACTCGGACGTTTTAGACCATCTCCTTTTGTGCGGATGCTGTTAGAAAGCGATTAATTTAATTGAATTTCTGATTTCTTATTCGTTCTTTTTTTTCAAAACGAACAGCCGACAAACGGTTCCCAAGATTTGTTTCGTAAATTACGAACATTTTTAAGAACAATTGAAAGCAATTTTTATTCAAAAGTGAGATTAAATTTTTGAATAGCTTTTGCCAAAGCGCGAAGTAAGTGTGAAATACAAAAAAACATACGTTGAGGAGTATTTTCGATAAAAAGGAAATCGTTCTGAACAGAAGTCTGAAAAGTGTTTAAATTATTAAAAATAATGTTAGAAATATTGAAATAAAAAACAGTGCATATGTGGTGAAATTGTATTAAAAAAAGACATTAAATATTCTGAAATAATGTTATAGCCTGAAATAGGATTCACGTATATTACATTAGCGACTATTTTTGTGCCGCGGCAGAGATTTTGTAGGATATCTTGAAACATATCGAATGCATATGTGTATTCTTTGTTATGTAATGTTTTATATAGGTATACATAAACCTTGTTAAGTACATACACATTAGAATTTACAAACCTCAGGAATATTATTAAACTTAATTTCGATAAAATTTTCAATTACACGTACCTATTTGTACACATTTTGCATTCTTAATGTGTTATTTAATATAAAAATTAACTGTTTTCTTTTAAACGGAAGTGTTGCGAATTTTCGAAAGGCTTACGTAACAGTTGCACCACAGAGAATACTAAGTACACACACACGCACATAACAACAAATATTAGTTTATAATAAAGAAGTTTTCAAACGTATTGAGTTCATATACAAGACCATATAAAAAACAACATTTAAATAATGTATTTATAGAATTGTTTTCGTAGAAAATAGGTGTGCGCCTATGTATGTATATAGGCATGTGGTGGCGAGGTTGCAGCATCTCCGAATGCTAATTTTAAACAGCAACCCACACATTCCACACACACTCATTCAGACGTTAGCTGAGTTGCTAAAGCAGGAACCACTGACAGCTTCACTAAGAGCAAGCGCAACAAACAATCGCTGCTTATGTAGCTTTTTCCACGCCATTTATTGGTTCATGTCTCAGCTATTATTGAGATTTTCATTATGTGTTGTATACGAAAGGCAACATCCGCCATAATTCGCCACGTTACCTGTATTAGGTCATGCAGCGCACAGTAAATACACTCACATACTCGCAGTAAAAACTTTTGTGGACTAATAGAGAGCGCAAGCGAATAGCGCTGCGGACTAATGAAAAAAATTGAGCAAAGAAAATCTAGAGAGAAACTATCCGATTACAATTCAGAATATCTAGAAAAACAAATAACGTTTTGGGAAATATTTGCGATATAGTTAGAGAAGGATTAATTTGTTTTCTGACCGTTAAAAATTATTTTATATTTCACGGTTTTGATATTGTTAGGCTTTTTCTTCGGGACCCCTTCTTCCCACTTTTATTATTTTTACTTTTTGCCTAAATCCAATCGCAATACAGAATACACAATCAACCACAATATCCAAACACATATAAAACATATTTTAGAACTTTAGTAAACATTTTAACCATAAGGTGTTTTCGTTCGGTACAATAAAGTGAAAATTAATATGAGGTTTTATATATTTTTTCTATTTTAGGGAAGCATTTGGGCTGAGACGACGCGAAACATTTCAATCTTTTGAAAAGGAAGACTTGGCAAGAACTTCGACTTTTGCACTCAAGCCCCGACTCTCATTCGAGTTACAATAATATATATTTAATTAACGTTTTCTGTTAAGAAAAAAGCGAATCTTTAACCAAGATGCCGAAGCCAATTGCTAGCCAAGAGGATGAGGATCCAACCCCATACCTGTTCGTGTCTTTGGAACAAAGACGTATCGATCAATCGAAACCCTATGACTCCAAGAAGAATTGCTGGGTGCCCGATGAGAAGGAGGGTTATCTTCTTGGTGAAATTAAGGCCACCAAGGGTGACATCGTCTCTGTGGGCCTGCCTGGCGGCGAGGTAAAACAAGCGTTAATAATTTGTATATGCAGATGATGTACAAACAAAAAACTCCACAATATGGATAGTAGTAAAACGTTGTTGCAGGCTAAACGAAACTAAATATAGCAAAAAACATTACTAGAAGTAAAAATTTTGTAGGAATCTTTCATTGGTTTTTGTAAATTCTGAATAAATTCTATTTCTCATGTTAGTTGAAACTTAGTTTTTTCGTCGATACTTTTTCTCTTGGTACAGGAAGATGCCTCTAACAAAACAAAAGGAAATCATTTCATTTATATAGTGCAGATTTGTAAATGATTCTGAAAGTGTCTAAATAAAAAGGCAGTAATATATAATGTTATTTATTCACCATAATGTATCCCCTTATGAATAATTTCAAACCATTTATTTATAAATTTCTATTATGTGGTATTGTAAAACATTTAGACCAAGGATTTTAAAGCCGATAAGGTCGAAAAAACGAATCCTCCGAAATTCGAAAAAATTGAAGATATGGCCGATATGACTGTGCTCAATACACCCTGTGTCTTGCACAATTTGCGACAACGTTACTACGCTAAACTGATTTACGTAAGTTTCCTCAAAACGTTGCACTAATAAACCTTTTTTCTTTTCTTTCTCTCTCTCTCTCTGACCTTAAATTTTAAAATATTTCATTACCCATGAAACGAATGAAAATAAACCTAACAAAATCACTGCGAAAATGTAAACATAAAATGAAAATAATTTTAAAACACATAAAATCGGGTACTTAACTCACAAAATCAAAACTAAAAAACTATACTAAAAATTATAAAACGTATAAAAAACGCTTGAAATGTGACGCACAAAACAAAAGACCAAAGACTTTAAGAAAGATCAGCTTCAACAAGTCAATCCTCCGAAATACGAAAAGGCCGAGGATATGTCTAACTTGACATATTTGAACGACGCTTCTGTGCTGCATAACTTGAGACAGCGGTACTACAACAAACTTATCTACGTAAGTATGGTCGGAACCGATTGAAATGGGTTCCACCAAACCCCGCAATGTTTGCTTTGAATGTTTTTGTTTATTGTATTTGTTATTGTATGAAATTGAATTGTCTATACCTATACACAACCTTACCACAACAAAATAAATCTTCATTTCATTCAGGATCAAACTATTACAACACAAACTAATTATCAAAAAGAACAAGAGAAATGAACCTTCATGCAGCTGACTAAAATTCAGTTAGAAAAACTTCAGATGCTTATTTGTGTCGAACTAATGCAAAATTTTCTTTAGAAATGCTAATAGCTTATGATAAGCAATTAAGAACTGTTATGCACATATTTTATTTAAACAAGATAATGAAATTCATGTAAGTACTATAAAAATATATTGAGAAATCAGTAAAGCTCTTTAAGCAAAATATGAGATACGGCACTCTCTAATTTTACTTATTTTAAAATGAAGTATATTTTGAAAACAGAAATTTGTGTTTTCAACATCTGAATTGGAAATCGGAAATGTAATTTAATAAGCTTTTTGAATCTGTTTTAAATTTTATATATGATGTATGATGATTATAATGTTTAATTGTTATCCCAATCCAAGCTACACATATTTTAATTTGTTTTAAAAATCTAATCCACTAATCATTATTATTCCATTAGCATCAATATCCTTCGTATGCGCTAACACCGCCACATACTAATTAAAAAACAAAATTAAATGCCAAATTTGGCAATTTTGTTCACCAGTTCATCAAGGAACGTCATAAAAAACATAAGCACGATAAACCCACACTATTACAACCCAGTGAAAGGATAGACTGAAACTTAAGAAAATTTTTGGAATCTTCATATAGCCATACACATTCCCACAGCAAATCCATTTCCCAAAAATCCAAATTCAAAATGCATAAAACTCATCAAATTATGGAACATTTTATATGCCCAAACCCATTGCATAATACACAAGAACACAAAATCCACCAACCATCAATCACATTACGAACTACGTTATGTTTCCTGACAAACGCAGAGATAAAAACCAACGGCATTTAATTAAAACACATTTTGTTAAGATAATGGAATGTTAATAAATATGTACGTACTAGTTGCATCACACAGTATATGAACCATCACTTGTCAACACAGAGCAAATATCATACGCGTTCGAGCTGAGTAAAATTACATTTACCAAATCAAGCAAAGAGGACAAAACATAGTAAAGAATAATCGAACCAACATAATTAACGAAATCACCCCAACACATCAAAAACACTCGAATGCGTTGACATTTAAGCAAATCACAAAAATGAATGCGAAAAATTTTAAGAAATAACTTTAACATTTAATTAGATTTTCTATATTTTAATATTGAAATCTTTAGGTGTCATCTACAATAGTATTACGTTGTTTGGGGTTTTTACGCAATTTCTATTTCTAATTTAAAATCTAAAGAAAAAACTCCACGTAGCGTAATATATTATTGCTCACTATTTCATTTCATTTATTATAAGGCGCAAGGTCAAAACTTATAGTTATATTTTAAAATTGATTGCTCCAATTTGTTAGTAATTTGAGTTCTTTTTTTTTATTTTGATACATAGAAACTAATGACTGATTTAATTCAATTATTTTTCAACATTTTTTAATTTTTCCAACTTGTGTCGAAACGATCTGAAACGTAGACCTACTCCGGTCTTTTCTGCGTTGCCATCAATCCTTACAAGCGTTACCCCGTATATACCAACCGTTGCGCTAAGATGTATCGTGGCAAGCGCCGTAATGAAGTGCCACCACATATTTTCGCCATTTCTGATGGTGCCTACGTCGACATGTTGACCAACCACGTCAATCAATCTATGTTGATTACTGGTGAGTCTGGTGCTGGTAAGACTGAAAACACGAAGAAAGTAATTGCGTACTTCGCCACTGTCGGTGCCTCAACAAAGAAGGATGAATCGCAAAAGAACAAAGGTTCCCTGGAAGATCAGGTCGTACAAACTAACCCTGTACTTGAAGCTTTCGGTAACGCTAAGACCGTGCGTAACGATAACTCTTCTCGTTTCGTAAGTGTTGCTCGTTTAGAATGTTAAGTACAACAAAGTGAAACTTATTACTTACACAACAATTTTCCTCTCACCTCTTTCTTTTACAAATATCTTCTCTTGCCGATGTTTAGGGTAAATTTATCCGTATTCACTTCGGCCCAAGCGGTAAACTGGCTGGTGCTGATATTGAGACTTGTGAGTTTATAATTTTTGCTCGCTGTTCTGTGTTTCAATTAAGTAATTAATTGTTTACTTTTTACATTTCCAGATTTGCTGGAGAAAGCTCGTGTAATCTCTCAGCAATCTTTGGAACGTTCATACCACATCTTCTACCAGATTATGTCTGGCTCCGTTCCCGGAGTTAAAGGTAAGACAATCAAATTTAATTTTTATTTACCCCAGAGGTGATAAAATATCTCAGGACTATCCAAAAAAATAAAAGTCATTAAAAATCATACGCTAATTCGAAAATCATAACTACTTTAAAAGAAGTTTATTAATTCGAGTGACAAGAGCAAACGAGTTCAAAAGTAATTTTAAAGACAAAAAAAATTAAATACTTAAAAGAAATACTATTATAAAACTGTGTTTTTCATAAAAATATTGTATATAATACATACATATTGATACATACCAATAAGATATATATGTACACACGCATATATACTTGTATAGACATATACATACATTTCCATAGTATATTGTAATAACAAATTTTAATTAGATATTATTCGAAACTTTTAATAAAATCATACAATTAAACTTTTATTACCAGTTCTTGTATTCATCTGTAGCCACTTTCCTATTCACTTGTCACACAAAACATAAATATATTAAAATACTATTAATTAAATTTACACTATATACATACACAAATATTATTTACAAAAATAAATATTACGTATTGCCAAATTATTAAATTCTTACCTTTCCACTTTTTTTTTATCAAAAACAAAATATACAAACCCAAATTGTCAATGATACCATATCATTCAAACACTCAGACGCTTGTCTGTTGACCAATAACATCTACGATTACCACATTGTCTCTCAGGGCAAGGTCACAGTCGCCAGTATCGATGATAATGAAGAATTCCAATTGACCGATGTAATTTCCTAATACTTTTATTTATAAAAATGTTGCTATTCTTTCGTTAATTACTACCCTAATTATTTGATTTTGTACTACCGTTAACACTATATTACATATGTCTAACTTCAAATTTACTAATTAACCAAAGTATTATTCACAGTCAATATACATATATTCATGTCGTATCATAAGTTTGACATTGGCTTGAGTAATATAAACCTGTAGGTATATTATTTAACGCACTATTGTACAAATGCTTTACTGTGCCCTCATAGGTACTTTCTAATGCTGCTCTCCCACAGTACCTTTCGAAATTCATTGACTTAAATTGTCTATCTACGGTTTTCTTATTTATCTGACCGCAGAACATTGATTAGACACATGGTATATTACGCGATAGGACATTTTACGCAAACTTAATTTAATTTTTTTTTTTTTTTACTACATACTAAATTCAAAAACAATTGTGCCTTCCGTATCTTCTTAATCACATCAACAAATACTTGTACTCATTATTACAACAACAGAATATTGTATACTATATTATAATATTACCGATTACAGTATTGTATCGCAAGGAAAAACAACCATACCCAACGTTGACGATGGTGAAGAGTATCAAATTGTTGACGTAATATACATTGATGAGTTAATACATATATTACACATGTAAATGGGTCTTAACATATTGCTAAAATATTTACTCAATAATCAATTGAAAATTTAAAGTAAAAAATTTAACCAAAATGCTGATGTATTCAGTGCTAGATTAAAAATGTATAAGAAAATAATAATAAAATTAAGACTGAATCAATTTCTAAAAATATCTTCAACACGTCTAATCCTTAACTTAGGCTGTATACTGGAAAGAGGACAGAAACTTAACAGATGTCTAATAACTACCTTTAAATATGTTAAACGTAAAAACTCACTCATTACAAAGTCTCAAATGTTTACTCGAGTGTTAACGCTTTCCAGCACCACCACTTATAATAGTGAGGTTATAGATGTCATTTAATACTCTTTGTCGTCTTCAATATTTGAACTCAATGTTATTACTCTCTTTTACTTACACACTCGCTCCTTTATCCTCCTCCTTATGAGAGAGTAAATGACTGTTTACCACCGCTTCTACCGTCGACTTCAACAAGCCGTACGGTAGGATATCCGCGAAAATTGGATTTTTTTCGTAGAAACGAGTGAGCTGATAGTGCAGCAATCTCTTGCAACGCAGGGTTGCCAATCTCGATATTTTGTAGTGATTAAAAAATGGACTTGAATATATTGGATAGTTATTCCTAAAATAACTCAAAACCACAGTCGAATACACTTATTTATAAATAGACAAACTATTTTTAATAGTTGGATTTTAGTTTTGAGCTTTTACATTATGAAAAATTATAACTGAAAAACTAAATGTGTGAAAAATCGTGTATACAAATAGAACAATGGAAACATTGGTGAAATGAAAACAAAAGAGAACAACCGATTTCTGCGTTGCAACTACGGGCATAAATTTTGACAAATTTGGTTTGATACGGGCGGTAAGTACGGAAGGAAGGAAAGTCGGTGACTGTTTGTGCACTTATGCCTCGTGTCAGTGCTTTTATCCCTGGCTTCGAGGTTAGACTATCTTTGAGCTGCATTTAGTATTTATAATAAAGTTATTTTACATATTGAATAATATTATTTTGTGCACAGAGATGTTTATTGCTTGAAATCTTAAAAATCTAGCAAAAACATATGTATATAACTGTTTTAGAATATTATGTTTCTACGTACTTATATACTTATGTATATTTCTCTAATCAAATGACAACCGATTTCTACATGGCATAACAATTACAAATTGACAATTAAGTAGTGCCAACGACGCGTAAGATACCCTTCAAATGTTATTTTCCAGTCAACCATAAACTTAAGAAGTAACTTAAGTCCACACACAGTATTCATACATATCAATCTTTAATTAAGAAGCATTATAAACGTGTAACCAACATTTGGGATACTTTTCTACCACAATTCTTTCTAAACAGCTCCTAAAACTATCCTGCATAATCCTTTTCCTTACTACATCTCAGTTGAGTTCGCCTTACTTGCCCGCAGCCTCCTTCACTGATAACTATTTTATATATCGTATTTTGTATCGTTACTTTTTATGAAACCAAATAACGGTATGTAAACAAATGCTAGAGATGGCATATTTATCGAACCATATTGGTGATTATCCTGGAATATGTCAGGGTAAAACAAGGATAGCCGGTGTCAACGATGGCGAAGAATTTGAATTGACTGACGTAAGTTGGTGTGAGCCTTTTCAATCTTACAATGTTACAAAATCTCACACTAGCAATGTTTAGTTCTATATTATCCTTCTACCTATTCAAATATGTCTTTCTGTATATTTTTTTCTGCAAACCTCTTTCATACATAATTTCTAAAAATATATTTTCAAATGTTATGTAATTTTTTGTTATTTCAATTTCTTGTCTGTCATTTCGCTGTACAGAAATAAACGAGATTTTGTATTAATATTTAATATAAAGTTATTTTATAGTTACATATTTATTGTACCTACATGGATTTCATATTGCTGGCCTCTCTGAAGTACTTCAAATATTTATTTACTCATTGTCTTTCATTTCTATGTCAATTTCATTGTAAATAAGTTTAATTTTCCTATGTTATTCCGGAATTTCTATCTCTTGCTGAAATAATAATTATTATCTTTCTAAGTAGTAGTAGATCCTTTAGTAATATTTGGTCCCCATTTAATGCATTCACTTTATGGTCCAAATACAACAAATCTTGTAAAAAACAATATTGTACTTATTTACGATTTGACACTGCTTGATATAATAACATTTATCATCTTTAAGGCATTACGGGTATTGAGCATACACAATATAATGCATATCAAAAACGGGGTGAAATAGTCAATTGAATCATAATCAAGAAATTGTTCAATATTATTAAACAGCGCTACAAGTGTTAAATTCAAATTCTTGGTACAGTGGTTCTGATACCGGCACAAAAACTTATTACTTTGAGTTACAACTCACTAAAAACAGCCCACGCAACGATATTAATATACAATATGTATACCTTTACTGAGTGCATTATTTTACGTACGATATGAAATAGAAATATTCGTTCAATACAAACCAAAAACAAAAAAAAATATTTTTAAAATGATTTACAAAATGACGTGTTTCCTACTTCATAAAGCATTTTATTCAGTTTAGTATGTTTTGCGCTTTAATAAACCTGTTCATTATAAAACAAACAAAAATCGGCATCAGTTATAAGTCAATATTTTATTTCCCGCTCTATAGGCTTTACACTTGAAAATAAAAAAAAAACATATCCATATTTTCCATTTTTACCGTAAACAGTCAAGAAATAAAAAAACACTTTTTTCCTATATCAAATCTCGCACTACCTCTACACACTTGATTTTTTCGTTTCCCTCATTGCCATTTTTACATATTTTATGAAATTGTCATGTGCAAAATTAATCCAAAAAATACCACAACAATTTTCTTCTCTCGACTCTTGTGCAGACGTTTGCTTCTTATCTGATAATATTTACGATTACTTTAACGTGTCTCAGGGTAAAGTCACTGTACCCAACATGGATGACGGTGAGGAATTCCAGCTGGCAGATGTAAGTTTTCGACGTAACAACGAAAAACAAAAACATAAAACAGAAACGCAGAAAATACAAAACCAACATAGAGCAAGCCAATTAGTGTAGTTAGTTGGTACTTATGTACGCAACGACGCCAAATCCACCAAACATAGTTAAATGCGCATGCCACCAGCACCACTTATATACTGCGTGCATTAATGTGGCGCCTGCCATAATTATGCCGTACTAAGTACAACAGCCAACACCACTACCATCCACCTTTTAGTATTTACATATACACCCACAATACATTGAACCTTAAGTTACTTTTCTTTGACATGCGTATCTGAATTTTACCAAACTCCTTAAATCTGCTCTTTTCTACACTTATTGTTCTACGTTAGATCGCTCGTTTGTACGTTGAATTTCATACTTTACTGTATTTGTATGTCATTATATTGCATCTATGAACATTTGTTGGAATGTCTTTGCACACACACACAAAATAAAAATCGAAAATTAAAGCGTGCACGGGCGGAATATTGAAAATTTACGCCTAATACGAGTACAAAAGTGCCAGCACACTAGTTAGCATAACTCTAAAATGCATTATGTTATAATTGGTATGTTGCGTTGTTACAAAAGGAAAACGAAATGTTGCATCAACTTGTATCTCGTGCTAATGTCATTTTTTACAGCGTGATTCATTCATTGCTATTTGCTGATCGTTGTGCGCTGTATACCTCAATAAAGTGGAAGGATAGTTCGGCTCTACATTATTTAATTTATTATACAAGTACTTACATATATATTCCGATAGACTGTATTTTCGTATGCATATGTTTGTGTATACACATGCTTGGTTCGCAAGGAAGCTTGCTCATGAAATTTTTTTATTTGATAATATGGAAATTTGTATTTCAAAAACCATGGAACACGTATAGTTACCGAACTTATAAACTAAAAAAAGTTTATTTTTTATTTACATGCACGTTTGTTACTTTTGCCATCTTATAATAGAGTTTTTGGTTAAAATTTATAGTTCAAATATTCTACGCTTTCCAAAAATTCCGGAATCTATTTACGTCTATATCCTAGTCGCTTTCATCAACGTTTCTTCAATTCGATTTTCCTTAAGAAAATTTATTTACTTACTTCATACAAAAAATTAGACATTAAATATTATACATGATAATAGATTTTGAAGAAAGATCCGAAACAGCTTATTATTATTTAAAATTATTTTTATTATTCGGATTAAATATTCAATTTGAGTAAATAGATAAAAATTATTGGCTTAGTGAGAAACGCAATTCAATTCATTAATGCATCTACATATATACTAATTAATAGCAGCTTGATACATGCAAATATGTAGTTTTACTATTTCCAGCGTAGAAATGAATATTACATTGAAGAATAAATCTTTCTACGAAATCTAATATTAAGTTTTTATGTATTTGTATATTTTTCCATATTGTAGCTTGTATAAATATTTATTTTGTGGTTTACTTATTGCATTTAAGTATGATAGTTGTTTTTCTTTGCATGCTTTTAATATTGTTTAATATCGATGATTTTAAAATATGTTGTAGAAAATATAAACAATTTACACTCCCTTAGCTGTACAAAAAAGCCAAACAACATGTCATAAACTCTCGCTTTCAAACACCTTAAAACTGCAAATAAAAACTAAACAAATAACATTTATAACATTTATTTAGAAATAAAATCAAAAATAAATTGAAACTAATATTATTCAATTTTCCTACCTTACTCCGACATTTAGCAAGCCTTCGATATCTTGGGTTTCACCGCTCAAGAGAAACAGGATGTCTACAAGATCACCGCCGCTGTCATGCACATGGGTGGCATGAAGTTCAAGCAACGTGGTCGCGAAGAGCAAGCTGAACAAGATGGTGAAGAAGAAGGTGGTCGTGTGGCTAAATTGTTCGGTTGTGACACCGCTGAACTTTACAAGAACTTGTTGAAGCCCCGCATTAAGGTCGGTAACGAATTCGTTACCCAAGGTCGTAACGTGCAACAGGTCACCAACTCCATTGGTGCTCTCTGCAAGGGTGTATTTGATCGTCTCTTCAAATGGCTGGTCAAGAAGTGTAACGAAACTCTGGATACTCAGCAAAAACGTCAGCACTTTATTGGAGTACTGGATATTGCTGGTTTTGAAATTTTCGACGTAAGTATGACACGGTCCTCCGTGAACACGCTAATAAGAGGTACAACTATTATGTAGGATTCATGTGAGATACACATATTTGATAAACGCGCATGAATCTTGCACTCTAGTTATTTGCTTGCAGCCGAGTATGATTCCCAACTTGGTTACGGCATAAGTGCTGATCTTACACTAACACTTCTTTTGGACGATGACATGTCTCCGAAACGAATGAAGATAGACACCAATTTATGGTATTTCAAATACACATGGTCTTTAACGTCCAATTTATACAGTCATATATTGCCCCATATACTATATAGAGTAGTCACACATTATATTCATTATAATCTTGTTTACTGAACGAAAGCAAAGCTCAACTCTTATCCATGTATTACTTCAATATAGTACAATGGTTTCGAACAATTGTGTATCAACTTCACAAATGAAAAATTACAACAATTCTTCAACCATCACATGTTTGTCTTGGAACAAGAAGAATATAAACGCGAAGGTATCAATTGGGACTTTATCGATTTCGGTATGGATTTGCTAGCTTGTATCGATCTCATTGAAAAGGTGCTTATTCAAAACCAATGATAAGATGAAGACATTTCTATGTACATATGTTTCATGTGAAACCGTTGCAAGCTAGTCACTTTGTTCTGTTCTTATCAATATGCTGTATGATATGTTGTCAAAGTTTTGTTATTTATTAAAAGAAAAATCAGTTGTCTAATAAAACAGGTACTGGTATGCATTATATAGTCAAAGTATATGATTTTGAAGTTCAAAACAAGTATTAAATTTGCATAAACTATACCTTGGATATGCCCCCATTCATAACACTTTGTACATTAAAATATGCACAATTTATTTTAATTCATGATTGCAAGAATACTCGCACAATTAGATATCTCCCACTATTCAATGGTATATTAATTATTTGTTTTATCCATATGTATTCCCAACATCTATATATAATTGTCTTGTAAATTATTACCATGAATCACCAACTATCACCACCACGACCATTAGTACAATGGCTTTGAACAATTGTGTATCAATTTCACCAATGAGAAATTACAACAATTCTTCAATCATCACATGTTCGTTTTGGAACAAGAAGAGTACAAGAGAGAAGGCATTGATTGGGCGTTCATCGATTTCGGCATGGATTTGCTGGCATGTATTGAGATGATTGAAAAGGTTGGTTTTGAACGCGAATCAAAAGAGCAACAATAAAATATAAATGAAAAGTTCATAAGCATACTATTTAATAAATTTTTAAATTCTTTACGTAGTATCTAAACCAATAAGTATTGTAGATATTGGGAATAATGTATAACTTGAGGTAAATGACGGTAAAGCATTTGATTTCAACACCAATTATTCATATTGCATCCAATATTACAAAGTCACTGAATGAAATATGTGTGTATTGCACGTGCTCTCTTTTCACTCCCCCACTTTTTTGAATTGTGTGTATCTATGAGGAAGTACCCTACCACCTTTCACCTGCACTAGTCCTACATAAAACCCACATAATTAACTTTTGAACATTAACATTTATATCCTTTTAACCTTACATTTACCATGTTTTGTTGTTGTGTTCCATTTTCCTCTCATATACAGTACAACGGTTTCGAACAATTGTGTATCAATTTCACTAACGAAAAACTTCAACAATTCTTCAACCATCACATGTTTGTTTTGGAACAAGAAGAATACCAACGCGAAGGCATTGAATGGACTTTCATCGATTTCGGAATGGATTTGCAGATGTGTATTGAATTGATTGAGAAGGTATTGGCACTGAAAATTTAGTAAAAAAGAAGTTGCAACGCAATATTTGCTTCGCTATGGGCTTCGCATAGTAAAACAACAATTAGTCAATATAATAGAAAATTAATCGCTTCATCAGAATCTAATCCCAAAAGATTGGTGATTCTATAGCCACTCTTAAACATTGATATGGTTATTTTCAACGCGTATATTAATAATAATATGAATAATGGTATTCTTAAGGAAGATTCGAACAACTAAATCAACAATATTTATAATAATTTTTGATTTTCATTGATTATATAAATGTTTTACGTACCCATTACCATATTTATTTCTCGTAAAAATTACACCTTTACTTAACATACCCTGCCTAACTTATTTACCCCCTAGTATTCCTCCACATTTTTATAAATAGACTCTTACCTATATTAATGTATGAAGAACACATTTGCGTATTGAAGAATTTTTAAGTAAATACAATGTAGTTGTGGGATCCTCAAAGCGTTTGTTATGTAAATATGGAGCAGTAAATAGTCGTAAATTCAAATATCCCTTTATTATTTAAAAATCCATATTAGCATTGATGATAAGAAGATATCTATATATATAAGTCAAATGCTCAAATAACGATGGAAGTGTACATAGCTAATCTTGTGCTTGTTATTTGTTAATAGTAATAATTGTAGTTGTTTAAGAAACTTGCAGTACAATTAGTAAACTGTATATAAGAGGAATAAATTTAATGATAAAGCTATAAAGCACAGGTAAGCATTGCATTCACAGTAGCTATGTTATATTTTGTACGCATAATCTTAAATTTACTTTACTGCACTATTGTAGCTGGTAGTTTTCATAGTAATTCTAGTGTAAAAATCGCACGCTAACTTTGTACATGATGCCAAATGTTTTTTGTCGATTTTTTTTTTTCATTTTACATAATTTAGTCTAATCCAAATATGTTTTTCTTTTATTTGCCTTACATTACATGCCTTTCGACTACGAAATAGCCTATGGGTATCTTATCCATCCTTGAAGAAGAGTCTATGTTTCCCAAGGCTACCGATCAAACATTCGCCGAAAAATTAGTTAACACTCACTTGGGCAAATCGGCACCATTCCAGAAGCCGAAACCTCCAAAGCCTGGACAACAAGCTGCCCACTTTGCTATTGGCCATTATGCTGGTGTTGTCGCTTATAACATCACTGGTTGGTTGGAAAAGAACAAGGATCCATTGAACGATACTGTGGTCGATCAGTTCAAGAAATCACAAAACAAGCTGTTGATCGAAATATTCGCCGATCATGCAGGTCAATCTGGTGGCGCTGAACAATCAAAGGGTGGTCGTGGTAAGAAGGGTGGAGGCTTTGCTACTGTCTCTTCGGCCTACAAGGAACAGTTGAACAGCTTGATGACCACTTTGCGTTCAACACAACCTCACTTCGTGCGTTGTATCATTCCTAATGAAATGAAACAACCTGGTCTTGTAGATGCTCACTTGGTTATGCACCAATTGACATGTAACGGTGTACTTGAAGGTATCCGTATTTGCCGTAAAGGTTTCCCCAACAGAATGGTGTACTCTGATTTCAAGCAGCGGTAAGTATTTCTAATAAAATAGGCGTACTACATTATACACAAACAACCTTTTAACGATAACAATAATGAATAATAAAAATATAAGTGGGTATAATTTATATTAGTTGATACTAGAAGTTATAGATGCGGCTAAAATATAACTTTAACAAACAAATTTAAAAAAATAGAAAAATATGTAGTATGTTAATTAAATATTGTCTATTTTTTGTACCCATTTTCTTTGAATTTGAATACAAAAATTACCAAAAGTTACATGATATTGGCTCCAGCCATCATGGCCGCTGAGAAACAACCCAAGAATGCAGCCGCCAAGTGTTTGGAATCTGTGGGATTGGATCCCGACATGTACCGTATTGGTCATACTAAGGCAGGCAGCTAATTTTAATTATCTGTTTTCTTACTCCCCTTACTCATAAAAAGCGTTTATAGTACGACCTAAATTAAATTTTAATACACCAGATTGTTTTCCTCTATACATGTCATTTTCTGTATTACAATCCTATTTGCGTTGCGTTCTCTTTCTTGTTCTCTTCGTCTCTATAAATGAAACTTTCACCAGCCCACCAGTATTGCACGAAAGTTTTAAAACTTACAGTACTGCTGTATAAACACATTATTCTTATCCCAAATTAGTATTTCACATTTTGTAGGAATGAACTATATAAGTAGAATTATTTACCAAATACTTGTAGTACACGTTATACTTACCCAATTCATATTTAATATATGTAGTTAAAAGTTTCATTTACCAATTGCTACCCCCACGTTAATCCATAAAGGTTTATAAATTCTTAGATTATTTATTCAAATGTACTTGTTCGTATCATGTAATGTTATATATTATATATTTAAAATTTGGTTATTCCTAGACAGATCATTAATTGTTTTGACCCTTTATACATCGTACGCCTATGTACATATACGAGTATATTTATATAATATACAAGTATATGCATACAAATAAGTAATATTCATTATTGAAAGACTTGCATATATATTTTGTTGTTTGAAAACCCAAACATTTTTTTTATATATTATGTATTATTGTAAGACTGTATAGACCCAATAGCATGACGTATTTCTTAATTTTTTCGACCTGATTTTTCCCTGAATTTTGTCTTGAGTAAACTTGAACACTTTCTGAAAACATATAAACACGTTTTTAAATATTACTACACATTAAATATTGTGTTGGCATAATCAAATATTTCTGGAAGCGAAATAGGTAATTTGAGTTCCTATTGGATGTTCGTATTTAATATTTGTCTCGCATATGATTATGTACCACAGGTACGCAGAGTATGGAAAAAATTCATATACTGTCAAGCTTATCTCAACATCATACTAAATACTGTATGGACGTTAGGAATCTTGCCACTTAAAATAAACACTACTACTTTCACAGGTATCAAATCCTTAATCCCCGTGGAATTAAGGAGGTGTCTGACGATAATAAGGCCTCAAAGATTCTTATTGAGAGCACGGGATTGGATGAAGATCTTTATCGGCTGGGTCACACAAAGGCATGCATGAAACAAAAATTTAAATAAACCTATACAGTATACCATGACATGATAAGCTTACGCTAATTGGAATTAGGCGTCTTTGCATTTGTGGCACACGCATTGACGTTATTTACTCTTTACTTTTCTTAAATTGATTTAAATTGGCATGTATTGCAATACAAAATTGAATGAAAATTTACATATATGTATACACATACGTCGTCCACAGACATATTCCACTCCCACGACACACAATGTTTACAAAACAATACAACAGCAATACACCATAAAACAAAAAATACTTCAAATATGCTTAAATTTTTTTTATTGTTTCAACACATCTTCCCTTAACGCAGATATCAAATTTTGAATCCAAAGGACATTAGCGGAATGGAAGATCCGAAAAAATGTTCTAAAATTCTTATTGAATCCACAGAACTTGATCCAGATCTATATCGTCTTGGTCACACAAAGGCATGGTTCTACATTTTTTCTCAAGAATGCGCCACAAACTTTGTTTCCATTTAAATGTTTCTAATTACGTTTTTCAGTTAAAAGTTTGTTTCTTAATTGGTTTGCAATGCAATATATATGCATATTTAACGGCAATAGAAAGCATGTATTGCATCAAAATATATCGTTCATATTTTCGTTTGTGTAATAGGGATCTACCAAAGCCGAATTGCCCCTATGCAAATATATACAAAAAATAAGCCTATATATTCCCAGGAATGTGTAAAAACTCACCTCGAAAGTTTAAGTTTGAGCTTCCGTCATAATGAGTACAATCTATATTATCATTTAATTCATTAATGTTTACACATTATATGTTTACCTTTTACTTCCCCGGTAACACAATGACGAATACATATTTATAATTCTGTTGTTATAGTTTTTTAATTTTATAAATAACTTATATAAATGCCCTTTATATATTGTTTAATTCCCCTTTACTAAAATATATTTTGATTACATACACATTTTTAAGACTGACATTTAAAATGAACCTAAAACAAAAAAAAAAAATTCCAATATCCACTACAACTACACATATATACAAACCAACAGCTACCAAATCCTGAATCCAAGAGGCATCAAAGGCTTGGAAGATCCAAAAAAAGCTAGTAAGATTCTGATCGAATCTACTGAATTAGATGAAGATCAATATCGACTGGGTAACACTAAGGCACGAATTCAATTTGTCACAAAAAATAAAAACAAAATGCCACACGATACCGCATAAGTATACATACATATAAAGTTACATTATCAAATAAACATATTGTCGGTGTAGTTTTTTGTAACTTTAAAATATTTTATTTAAAAACATTAGAAAAATCCACATTACATATTTACACTAAACTCTGCATTTACCAAAATAATTGGTTGGTGATTACACACTCGTACACATTTTAATATTTGAAAGTCCCTCAGCACCCATACACATAAAGCATGTCCCTAAATACACCCATCCAAAATATCAATACACACTATATTAGTTCAGCATGTTCTCATTAGCATTGTTATTATTTCTATTATTTTAATGCTAGTAGTAAGATATGGTCCCGAAATAAATATTCATGTCCATCGCTTTTAACTCCATCGGTATCCACTCTATAGCACGCAAAAAGTATTCAATATCTAGACATTTCATATCTTTTAAACATACATACATATGAATAAGCTAAATGCATATTATTATATAGTATATATCCATTAACATGCATACTCGTATTACCATATATGGTATAAAGGGTAAATTTATTAGCTTATATATGACCGACATCCATTGTCCACTAAATCAATGACCTCATGAAACTCTATATATAATTATACCCTGCTTTCTAATTAGTATTTCATAACTTTTCTGGGATATAAATTAAGTGTTATTAAAATAATAACTAAACTTTTTAATAATATGTAGGTTTTAAATTTTTTTTTTTAATTTTTAATTTCTACAAATTTATTTTAATTTAATATACATTGCTTTGACAGAAGAAGAAATATTTTTATTTAGGTGCGCATCATATTCTATTCTTTTACATAATCGAAATTTTTTTTCCATGGAATAAAGTAAACAGTTATAAAATTATTAATGTCTTAATTATATTTTCACACCACCAAAATCATCAATTAAAAATAAAACAACTATGTCCAATCCAAAATGACACCACCGATCAAACCAAACAACCATCGCGACATCAATTTATCTACACCCCACAAAATTGCACTTTCACACATACATACACGCTCTCGTACCTACATATGCTCGTATAGCTACAAGATCATGTGCCCGAAACTTTTGGTTGGCGTAGAGAAAGATAAGAAGGCCACTGAAATCATTGTTAAACACATTGACTTGCCAGAAGATCAATATCGCCTGGGTAACACCAAGGTACCTTAAACACACTAATGAAAAATATAAAAAGAAATGCAGTATAAAGCGATTAAATAAAAATTGTCTCTTGTAAAATTGTAAAAAATTGTCAAAATAATTTTTAAAAAGCAACCTAAACTAAACAATAACAGAACTGTGTTTTTCAACTATCTATAAAAAAACCCAAAACCAAAAAATTTTTAAAGGAAATTATATAATAATAAGTTGTATATGTCAGTATCCTTACACTTGTCCAGTAAACTCGTTAAACCACTAACATTTTTATTAAACTTAGTTTGCATGCACATTTTATTATTTATTTCACTCATTACGTATACCACAAGCCCCAATGTGGTTTCAACACAATTACAATAATTCACAGTTTTTTTACACATCTACATTCTTGTTTGTGATCGTACTTACAGACATATGCATATATCAATCTATGTAAATATATTCAATTTCTCGTCAACACATACTCGTATTATTCATAGCTTTAAAGCTTTACAAACCACGCTATAATTCTGATAGTTGCTCGGTGTTCTGTTTTCATAGCCATGCTTTGTTCATTCTTAATTCCAAAATTACTTGATATTCAAGATATATGTATATGTTCACATACATATATCTATAAATTTATATGTAAACGCTTTTTAAAAATAGTAGACTAGCGGTGAACTGAGAGAGTGTTGCATGGAATAGTTGAAGATAACTGTGTACACTGATTTCAAGTATATACAAATATATAATATATCTATACAAATATATTGTACTAAAAAATAAACTATTTTGTCTGTTAATTAAATAAATTTATATTAAAAGAATTAAAAGATTGCTGATATAATCTAAACATACTAATTTTAAATGACTCCAAAGACGTTCTTTCAGCTCAGCTCAAGTCAATCGCAACATATGTGGCATAAAACTATAAACAAAAGATAAAATTACTAATCATATTTTCATTTCCCCACACAAATAAAAAATCCAACACAATAGGTGTTCTTCCGAGCTGGTGTCCTGGGTCAGATGGAAGAATTTCGTGATGAGCGTCTCGGCAAAATCATGTCATGGATGCAAGGATGGGCTCGTGGTTACTTGGCCCGTAGGAACTTCAAGAAATTGCAAGAACAACGCTTGGCCCTCAAAGTTGTACAACGCAACTTGCGCAAATACCTTCAACTCCGCACCTGGCCATGGTACAAATTGTGGCAGAAGATCAAGCCTCTCCTCAACGTTTCTCGCGTTGAGGATGAGATTGCTGTAAGTAACAACAAAAAACGATAATTATTGAAATTGATGGAGTAGCAGAAGAACAAGGTGACGGTGTTAAATTCTCAGTTAATAACTGCTTAAATGGAGGTGGAGGAAAGCAAGCAAACGCCTTTTTATAGAATGGATTTTGTTTGGCGTCAGTCTATAATTATGAAAGATATAGATTTTTATGCTGCTGTCGTTGCACCTGTCGGAATTAATCACTCTTGTCTATGACAGCAATTCATGTATGCGCCACTAGTAGTGCTATAAAGAAAGTGGCAAAGAAAAAAAAAGGCATCTAAAAATAGGAGCTAATGACTTGTCGAATTCCTTCTCTATTTCTTTTTTCCCCTTGCTGTACGTTTGGTTTTTTGGCTTATATTTCTGACAATGTTAGCAAGTGTGTTCACATAATTAGTGCCCGTGTATTTACATGCCAATGATGGTCAATTTTATAATTTCATGTAGGCATATGCTCAGACCATATGTATATGTATTTTGACATCGTAAATCTAGCAATCTAATTGCTAATAAACAGCCTCACATCAAATTTGTAAGTGCTTGATATAAATGACTATTACATGTCACATAATGTACATAGTTCGTTTATAATTGGTGTTAATCATACGCCCCAGCGTACTTAATTGCTTGTTATAGCCTGAACAGGGTATATTAAGTTTGCCACGAAGTTTGTAACACCCAGAAGGAAACGTCGGAGATCCTATAAAATATATACATAAATGATCAGCATGATGAGCTGAGTTGATTTAGCCATGTCCGTCTGTCTGTATATATACAAACTAGTCCCTCAGTTTTTATGCTATCGATCTGAAATTTTGCACCTGTCCTTTTCTAACAAAGAAGCTACTCATTTGTCGGAACGGTCGATATCGGACCACTATAGCATATAGCTGCATACAAACTGAACAATCGGATTCAAGTGTTTGTATGGAAAACTCTTTCATTTGACGAGGTATCTTCATGATATTTGGCGTGTATTATTATTTAAGGCATTAATCTAATCTTCGAAGAAATTGTATAGATCGGATGACTATAGCATATAGCTGCCATACAAACTGAACAATCGGAATGAAGTGCTTGTATGGAAAACTCTTTCATTTGACGAGGTATCTTCACGAAATTTGGCATGTATTATTATTTAAGGCATTAATCTAATCTTCGAAGAAATTGTATAGATCGGATGATTATAGCATATAGCTGCCATATTAACTGAACGATCGGAGTAAAGTGCTTGCATGGAAATTTTTTTTATTTGACGAGGTATCTTCACGAGATTAGGCACGAGTTATTGCCTAAGGCAACAAATTATTCTCCACAGAAACTGGACAGATCAGATCACTATATCATATAGCTGTTATACAAATTGAACGTTCGGAATCAAGTTCTTGTGAGGGCCCTGTATTTGTGAAGGGTATTATAGCTTCGGCGCAACCGAAGTTAACGTTTTTTCTTGTTGTACTTGTATCAGTTTATGACATAATTTCTTGGTGATGCTAATGTATTATATTTTCCAATGCGTAGGCACATACTTTTACACCAAATAAATTGGTCAACGTTCTTTCGAGATGAAACAAATGCCTGGATATTTCTAATGGTCGTTTGTATTTCTAATAGCTTCTATATACATCAAACACTTTAGTGACAATTTTTATCTACAAATACGTACTAACACCAACAAATATATTTTCTTTGTTTGCTGCTTTATTTCAACATATTTTTCTACTGCTATAAATAATTATTCGCTTTCTTTTCTCCGTTTCCTCATATTTTTACGCTGTCAATACATATGCGGCGCTATGAAAATATATATCCTACATACCTACATAAAGTGAGCAGTAATTGAAATGTGTGCACAAATACCAGCGAGAATAGATACGTATGCATAAGTATGTAAAAGCAATACTGGCCTCGACTTCTTAGTAAGCATCCCTGAATATATTTGGATCAGCAATCTTTATATTTCAATAAGTTGCTTGGAATAGGTATTCCGTTAGCACATAAATATACTCGGACAACTCGTCGTATGCAAATATTTGTGCATATGCATTTGTATTGGTATTGTTCGTGAATACACTTTCGATACTTAAATGCTATACCATCTAGGCGCTCAACTCAATCAGCAGCTGCGGCAGCTGTTAAAAGCTAACATCATCCAACTCACCATTAGCATGATTAATGAAATATTGAATAAGAAACAGGCAATTGAATTTTTATTTTACAAAGTTTATTAATAGGCATTCTAATTGAATTCTGATCAAAATAATTTGGCCAACTTATGTATATTGGCATAAGGAAACAAGCAGGCGACTAACTGAGGAGTTATTTGTCATCTTGCTCATGATGTTCAAAAGAGCGATAGTGTTAGCGGCAGCACAAATTATATAATCTATGATAATCAAAGCAACACATCTACCTACATACATCTCTAGACCTAAATATGCGTGGCTCACGATATTTGTGGCACAACACCTGTGCAATATCATTGATGGCTGCACATGTATTAATCTCTCTGTGCCTCTCTGGCGTGACTCTTACGGGAAATTAAATTGCCGATGTTTGTACATTTGCGATCATGTTAATGTTATCGTTGCGGTGCATAAATATCAGATTTATTAGTGTGTAGAAGACATGCTGTTCGCAGAATCTTCGATTCGATCATACTCGGGCCGTTTCTAAATTTATTTACCCACTCACACGTTTACCCAAAATCATTAAGCATGAATTAATTGTACGTAGTATGTATGTATGTATGTATTTTTAGGAATGTACTCGGAGGTAATTGAATTGAAATAATTTCTTATGTGAACTCATGGCGGATTGCTCATTGGTGCTGCACTTATCATTATTCCAGCTGTTAACCAGTAGCTAGTCGGACCTAGTTGTCTAAACTCGTCGTCGCGCAGTTCAGTTCACTCGCTGACCACAACGAAAACTTATCGAATCCAAAGCTATTTTGAAGTTTGAAACATTAGATAAAATAAAGGAAAAATTTAATAACGAATTAATAATACTATAATAATACTCTGAGAATAGTTAATTGGGTATCAACGATCCTTTTGAGACTAACGAAAGAACGAGAGAACAAGTGAAAACTTTTGTACCTTTCGTTTTGTTTTATAGTGAAAACACATTGAAAGCTTTAATAACTGGTAGCTCATGCGAAATAATTGTTGCTTAAAATTTTAAAATTTTTACGATTGTGTTATTGCCACACATTATTTTCGTCAATCTCAACATTGTAGAAAATCCTTTTAAGTGCCTACATATACTATGGCCGATGATAAAAAGGTAAAAAAATCTAAAAAGGCAGCCACTACTCCTGCCAACACTGGTGAAGCAGACTCGGCGAAGGCCGAAGTAGCACCTAGAGAAATTGTGTAAGAGCCGATTTAAATTGTCAGCCTACTGAGGCTGTGGGCAGACTACACACGAAATTTGCTCCATTTCTGCAGCGATTGAGATGTAGTTATCAACGCCGTCACTTCGCCATTTTCTTCTGCAACGCAAGAATAACGCAAATTTTAACAACCGACGTTAAAACACCTCCATTCCTTTTGATTCACTCGAATTACAGCGTCTAGAAGAGAAGGCTAAGAAGGCAGAGGAATTGCATGCTGCTGAAGTGAAAGTACGCAAGGAATTGGAAGCCCTCAATGCTAAGCTGTTGGCTGAAAAGACTGCCTTTTAGATTCGTTGTCTGGTGAGAAGGGTCAATTGCAGGACTTCCAGGAGAGAAACGCTAAATTGACTGCCCAAAAGAACGATCTCGAGAACCAATTGCGTGTAAGTAAAATAATTGCATTTAATAATGCCAAAACTCAAATCTAATCATATCCGTCTTTGAAAGAATTTAAATTGAAGTAAATAGATCGTTTAGTAGTTGAAGCAAATCTAAAAATATTATATAAATGTATACCTGAAATATGTAATGTTAGAATATAAACTCAATTTCTAAACTTTCTATTTAATTCTAAAATTAACTTCAGTTCATAAAGGATATATATGTGTAGTTGCAATTTATTCAGCGTGGTAATCAAGCACCATTATCCAATACAAATTACAAATTTAAATAATATATAATATATGGTATATAATAACCATTTGGTATGCCCACGGTGCATTTGCACTTGCGGTATCAGATCAAAACGTGATTAATTATAATTTTGCGATTTTATAATTATATAGTTTTCTCGTGTATTTGCTTTAATTTTAGAAGGATTTCCAATAGAATCCGGAATGGGAAATTTTTGCGTTTGCTAAAAATAGATGCTTAGATTGTGGTTATGTTTAAATTAGATTAGGGGTGACAGCGAGTGTTGTCAGTCAAATTGTAACCCAGTACATGTGTAGGTTTAAAAATAATAATAGATGTTTTAATTGCTCAATAGGATATACAAGATCGTTTGAGCCAAGAAGAGGATGCCCGTAACCAATTGTTCCAACAGAAGAAAAAGGCTGATCAAGAAATTTCTGGCTTAAAGAAGGACATTGAAAGATCTCGATTGAGCGTTCAGAAGGCCGAACAAAGATAAGGCTACTAAGGATCACCAAATCCGTAACTTGAACGATGAAATCGCCACCAAGATGAACTCATCAATAAGTTGAACAAGGAGAAGAAGATGCAGGGTGAGACAAACCAGAAAACTGGTGAGGAGCTCCAAGCTGCCGAAGACAAAATCAACCACTTGAAAAAGTTAAGGCTAAACTCGAACAGACTCTTGATGATTGGAAGATTCATTGGAACGTGAGAAGAAACTACGAGGAGATGTTGAAAAGGCCAAACGCAAGGTTGAGGGAGATTTGAAACTTACCCAGGAGCCGTATCTGATTTGGAACGCAACAAGAGGAACTAAACAGACCATACAACGCAAGGACAAAGAGTTGTCTTCAATTACTGCCAAATTGGAAGATGAACAGGTCGGTGTTGGTAAACACCAACGTCAAATCAAGGAGTTGCAAGCCCGTATCGAAGAATTGGAGGAAGAAGTTGAAGCTGAACGTCAAGCCCGCGCTAAGGCTGAGAAACAACGCGCTGATTTGGCTCGTGAATTAGAGGAATTGGGAGAGCGCTTAGAAGAAGCCGGTGGTGGCCACATCAGCGCAAATTGAACTCAATAAGAAACGTGAGGCCGAACTCAGCAAATTGCGTCGTGATTTGGAAGAAGCCAACATTCAGCATGAGTCCACTTTGGCCAACTTGCGGAAGAAGCACAACGATGCTGTCGCTGAAATGGCCGAACAAGTTGATCAGCTTAACAAACTGAAGGCTAAGTAAGTATATTTTTTTGTACAATATGTTTCGAGATACATTTCAGGCTTCTTATACCATATATAATATAATGCCACTTTTGATATATTTTGTGCATAAATGTTGAACGTCCTAAAATCTTCTATTGGATTTCGTAACTTTTTATTATTAATGCAATATTATTTATAATGAAAACAGGGCTGAACACGATCGCCAGACTTGTCACAATGAGTTAAATCAAACTCGTTCCGCCTGCGACCAACTGGCTCGCGATAAGGTAATGTGTTGTAAAACAACTTCAAGCCGTTTGGCCACTATTCACCAATTACTGCACTATCCCTACAATTATCCTCAAAACAATTACATACATATTATACTCACAAGCAATCTAACATTTGTAAAATGATAAATTTAAATATTTCTACCGGGTTTTGTAGTAGGTTTAAGACACAATCACTTCCAATTGAAGGTCTTCTGCAGCACGTTTACTGCTGTTAGTATCGCATAAGAAAGCAATATACTTCCTTGGTTTCTATGTATCTCTTAAATCGAATTTCCATTCATAATTTAACACAGCACTAACCATATCCAACTCTACTCTATTATTCACATAATCTAGGGCTGAAAAGGAGAAGAACGAATACTACGCTCAATTGAACGACCTCCGCGCTGGTGTCGACCACCTTACCAACGAGAAGGTATACAGACAAGATATTCTATATATTGAAGATTTTGTTATATGCATTGCTGCTGCTGTAATTTTGCTGAAATTATCATTGTATGTTTTCTGTATTTTGCTTTTTTCTTAAATTAAATATATTTTAGCTATTACAGGATATGCACACAAGGATTAATTGATATATCCATCCTTTCTCCGATGTGCACAAGAATATAATATAATATAAAAAGTATTGACGATTATATTTCTAAAGCAGCGCCGATCATTAACATAACCATTGAAATGTTTTTTTTTTTTTAATTTTCGCTGAAACTGTAATACCTATTACTCTAACTTTTCTTCGATAATAACGCCACCGCTACTAATTGTACAGTACATACAAAACGCACTATTTTGTATATAGTAAATATATTATCGTCATGAAGTTAAGTATAACATATATTTCTTTACTATTTAGGCTGCCAAGAAAAGATTGCTAAGCAATTACAACACACTGAATGAAGTTCAAGGTAAGTGGACGAAAACCAACCGCACCCTCAACGATTTCGACGCCTCCAAGAAGAAGCTGTCGATCGAAAACTCCGATCTGTTGCGTCAACTGGAAGAAGCAGAATCACAGGTGTCGCAATTGTCCAAGATCAAGATCTCCTTGACCACTCAATTGGAAGATACTAAGCGTTTAGCTGACGAAGAATCTCGCGAACGTGCCACCCTCTGGGCAAGTTCCGCAACTTGGAACACGACCTGGACAATCTGCGTGAGCAGGTAGAAGAGGAAGCCGAAGGCAAAGCTGATTTGCAAGCGTCACTCAGCAAAGCCAACGCTGAGGCTCAAGTATGGCGTAGCAAGTACGAATCGGATGGTGTTGCTCGTTCTGAAGAATTGAGGAAGCCAAGAGAAATTGCAGGCTCGATTGGCTGAGGCTGAAACCATTGAATCTCTCAATCAAAATGCATTGGTCTCGAAAAGACTAAGCAACGTCTGGCTACTGAAGTAGAGAGATTTGCATTGGAAGTAGATCGTGCCAACGCCATGCTACAATGCTGCCGAAAAGAACAGAAGGCCTTTGATAAGATCATTGGCGAATGAACTTAAGGTTGATGACTGGCTGCTGAACTGGATGCTCACAAAGGAATGCCGCAACTATTCCACCGAATTGTTTCCGTCTCCAGGGTGCCTACGAAAGGACAGGAACAGTTAGAAGCCGTGCGTCGTGCAAAGAATCTGCTGATGAAGTTAAGGATCTACTAGACCAAATCGGTGAAGGTGGCCGTAACATTCACGAAATCGAGAAGGCAAACGCTGGAAGCTGAAAGGATGAGCTTCAAGCTGCACTCGAGGAGCTGAGGCCGCCCTGGAACAAGAAAACAAGGTATTGCGCGCACATTGGAATTATCTCAGGTTCGTCAAGAGATCGACCGCCGTATTCAAGAGAAGGAAGAAGAAATTCCGAAAAATCATCAACGCGCTCTCGATTCCATGCAGCCTCTCTTGAAGCCGAAGCAAGGGCAAGGCTGAGCGCTGCGCATGAAGAAGAAATTGGAAGCCGATATCAATGAGCTGGAAATTGCCCTGGATCATGCTAACAAAGGTATAGTATATACAAATAGTGATACAAAGGGCGCGTTAGTTATATGTTGAAATATATATTTTTTATATTATTTAGCTAACGCCGAGGCCCAGAAGAACATCAAACGTTACCAACAACAGCTTAAAGATATCCAAACCGCCCTTGAAAAGAACAGAGAGCCCGCGATGACGCTCCGCGAGCAATTGGTATCCGAACGCCGTGCCAATGCCCTCCAGAACGAACTCGAGAATCCGCACTTTGCTGAGCAAGCCGATCGTGGTCGTCGCCAAGCCGAACAGAATTGGCTGATGCCCACGACAACTCAATGAAGTTTCCGCCCAAATGCTTCTATCTCAGCGGCCAAGAGGAAATGGAATCTGAACTACAAACACTCACTCCGATTTGGACGAATTGTTAAATGAAGCGAAAACTCGAAGAGAAAGCCAAGAAGGCTATGGTTGACGCTGCAGCCTTGCTGATGAGCTCCGCGCTGGCATCATGCCCAGACCCGAGAAACTGCGCAAGGCCTTGGGCACAAATTAAGGAATTGCAGTCCGTTTGGATGAGGCTGAGCTAACGCACTGAAGGGTGGTAGAAGGCTATCCAAAAGGTGGAACAACGCGTCCGCGAGTTAGAGAACGAATTGGATGGTGAACAGAGGAGACATGCGTGACCAAAAAATCTACGCAAATCTGAACGTCGTATTAAGGAATTGTGCTTCCAATCTGAGGAAGATCGTAAAAATCACGAACGTATGCAAGACTTGGTTGATAAACTGCAACAAAAGATCAAGACCTACAAGAGGCACATCGAGGAAGCCGAAGAAATTGCTGCCTTACTTAGGCCAAATTCGGAAGGCACATGCAAGAACTTGAAGAAGCTGAGGAGCGCGCTGACTTGGCCGAACAGGCTATCAGCAAATTCCGCGCTAAAGGACGTGCAGGCTCAGTTGGACCGTGGTGCCAGCCCAGCGGTGAGCATTTTTAATTTCGCTTTAAATAAAATTATATCTAACTATGTATTTTGAACTCACAAATTTTGATTCACTATTTATTTATTTATTTATTATTATTCCTTTCGTCTCATGCGTTCAATTAGAATTGGAATGCGACATAGCCAATGATCCAGCGATAAAGTGGTGATGTGATCAAACACAACACATGAGAAGCAAAAGCAAAGAGATTTTAGTTCATAGGCAGCCAAAACTGAAAGTCTAAAATATGATAAAATTAAAAAATACTTACGCCATCTAAGATTCAATTATTTTTAATCATGAAAAAGACATTTTAGAAAAGTTTAGTTGAATTAGCAATCATCATTACCTCGATTAAAAAATAAATTTAAAAGCTGAATTAATATTTAAAAATAACAAAAATATCTTGAATACTTCTACTTTTTTATTATTAAATTATGTATGTGTATACTGTAAGCCGACATCGTCAAAGGTTGGCCGCCAAATACGCTGGACCAATATTACTTCTCATTACATTTGTAAGTCAATGAATGATACTCGTTATCCGTCCTTTATTTGTTCCCTAAAACGAAAAACGTGCTTTTTAGAGCATTAGTCATTAGCGCAGCCTTTAACATACTACACGTACTCACTCATTGCGCCCACCAAATGTTTGACGATCATTCATTAAAATTTTACTCTCTACCGAAACCATTATTGCAATTAGAATGCATAAATTAGAATGATTTCCGAATTATGTTTTGCAAAATGATGTTGGTTTATACCAAGTTTTTACCACGCAATGCACTCGTGCATATCTATGGTCATACATACATATATATTTATAAGACAGTAAACCCGCAAATTCAAAATGTTGTCCTATTTATTTTCATACTCTAATTTTGCTGATTTTTATACAATTTTCATTATTATTTTCATTCTCGTTCTAACAGCCCGAGCGATGTCCGTACGGCCAACAACTTGACGGATTGGGCTTTCCCACCAAGATTCGACTTGCACCGAACGAATTCTAAATGCCATTTCTGTAACTTCGTTTATAAAAATTATTTAAAATAATATTTCATAATTATTTGTTATGTTTAATTTAATTTAACTATTTACAATATTTTTTTTGTTTATTTTTATTTAAATAAAACCAAAAACCATGTATAATTCGAACGACGGGAGGAAAATGCACTTAGCAAAAAACATCTCTTAAAATAAAAAATAAAAATAAAAATACCAAAAACAAACACAAACGAATGTAACAAAAAACAATGAAACAAATAAAAAACCAACATTAGCATAAAGCTCACAGCTATGACGAAATTTGTTCTTGTTAGTTAAAGTACGTACGTCACATACGATTTACGCAAAATTCGGAAAATCTTTGAGTTGATTACTAAAGTCAGTCCAGCCCGTATGTATTGTATTTAATTTGCTTTTATACAAATAATGACTTAATTTACAACACCTATAGATATATTTACATGCGATTTATAAAAATAGTACGAATCCGTACAACTAAGACACGAAGTAAAGAGTTATTTCGAAAACAATAAAAACTGTATGTAGTAAAGTGCATAGTATAAAACATAAATGGCAGTGGGGAACGCACTTACAAACAAGTTAATAAACATACACACACTCTCATACTGGACGAGCTTATGTTTATTGTCACTTTTAGTAATCCGAAAATTATATTAAATTTAAAGATAAAGTATAACAAAAAGGAACAAATAAATGTAAATAAAACAAAAAATATAAAATTATTGTAGTTATTTTTTTTAATTTAGTTGGTCGTTGAGTTGGAAAATAAGGCTTAAAGATACATTCATGCATAGAAATATTTTAGTTGCCGGAGAAACCGGGAAATCGTAACACTGTTTGGTTGTTTGGAAAAGGAGCCCGCATAGAATCTTAGGTTAGATATCCTGTGATAACGCCTATAATGTTATTTAATTCCCTTTTATCTAAAAGTAGAATCTTTGTGGTGGGTCACCATCAATATTGCACCGAAAGTACTTTGTGGTATCCCTTTGTGTCCAAGACCTGGTGTTCGTCTAGAGTTCATTGCTAAACAATCCTTGTATATCTCTTTATATAGATTGTTTAGAAGAAGGCTCTTACCGATCAAATAGGATTAGATCGCCGAAATAATAGCTGTTGTGGAATTGGAAAGACAGATTGGCCCGCTTGCTTTTACGGCCACTTTGAAAACTATCTCAACAAAAGCTCTGGTGGTCGTTTTCGATATCTTGAATATCCATATCCAAGTGAAATATAATGCATAGCTTACGCCAGCCGGCTTATGATTTTAAGCCTTGGAGCCAGCTCAAGCATCACTGCGGGTATGGTATGGTATCTCGAAAACTCACGGTAAAGATTCACAATGCGACCGAGAAAAAGTGCCATGGAAGTTAAGCACAACGCAGTAGAAAAATGGACTTATTGCTCTATAATTGTACCCGATATCTTGTATGTATTCACCGATAGATTAAAGTTACTCAGGAGATATCACTTGAACATATGTATGTGCGCTGCTTCGTGATCAACAAACCGTTTGGCATTAGACTGTAAAGCATGGTACCGCTGCACTATCCAAACCCATTTTTGGTTATCCCAAACTGTCACGTTTTT